CCACCCCCACCCCCCTCAAATCTCCTCACCTCTTCCCGCCGCACCCGACTTCGACTTCCCCTCGTTATAACCTGACGGCCCGCCGCTCCCACCACTGCCCGACTGCTGCTCACCCGACGACACACCACCGCCACCTCCATACTGCTGCACGTACCCACCATTCCGCTGACCTCCCGCATTCACCATTCCCACGCTCCCACCCCCGCCTTGCTTCGCACTCTCACATGACCTCCCGTTCGGACCACCTCCCCCTGCATCTGCATTCGTGCTGCTCCGCCCACCGCCACCTTCACTGCTGTTGCTTCCTGCGCCCACTGACACCCCAGGGCTCAATGCCAAGCTACCGTTTCCACCGCCACCCGCAAACTGCTGCTGTGGTGGCTGCATCTGCTGCGCCTGCTGCAAATGTTGAGACGAAGGCTTGTAGGTCTGAGGACCCGAACCAGGCTGTTGTTGATGCGGTGTGGCTTGTGGGGATTCTTGCAATTGGTGGGCGACACCTTGGGATCCCTGTATGTGGGAAGGCTGTTGCTGCTGATGCAAGTGTTGATGCTGTTATTACAAGTAAACACAATATAGAATGATTATACATTCGTAAATAGCGTTGCCAAAGCATCGCGATCACATTTCTATTTGTGCACTACAAGTACTAATGTCAATTCGAGACCAAACACGACAAAAGGTACAGCCTCTACATCTACACCATAATGCATCACGTGCAGGAGCAGACTGAAACGAGACATCTGACATTCAAAAATACTTATTCTCAGACTATGACATATACAACTACCGTTGCATGACTTCAAACACCTCACTTCAAGATAGCCAGAGTTTAACATAATAAGATCGCGGCAAGAACAGAACCACATACATGAAAGATATGCTGGTGGAGCATCGGATGCTTTTGCAGCAGCATCATGTGCTGCTGCTGCTGCTGCACTTGTTGCTGATGAAACTGCTGCTGCAACTGCGAAGGTCCCTGCGCTGAGCCTTGTGACTGATAACCAACATGCTGCTGCGGTCCCTGACCTTGTCCTTGGCCTTTCACATGCATCTGTGGTTGCTGCGAGTTTTTACCAGACGTGCTCTGAGCCATAAGACTAGAACTCAAGATCGATGGAACAGGATACCCGGACGAAATAGAGGAAGCTCGCTTCCCTCCACCACTAGCTGCACCCACAACCACCTTCTGGGAAGCAGGGAACGACGACTTCTGAGACGACGAGCTTTTCGCAGAATTCAACCCAGAACTCTTCGACGGCGGAGCCATCGGGGACAGAGGAACTCCAGCCGAAGACACCGGAGAACCTGCCCTCGCAGTTCTCCTCCTTGAATTAGACCCAGCATTTATGTTTCCACCCAGCTGTGTTGCCCGCTGTGTCGACTGACCTTGAGAACTCTTCACCATCGCAGCTGCTAAAACTGCTTGAAAGTCTGTCCCTGAAACTGCAGGAAGAGGAGTCGTACCCGGCAGGGCGGCGGGTGTTGACCTCTGGTTCAGTTTCATCTGAGTATGCTGCCCAGCCTCGCTTGGCTTCCCTACTTGGCATCCAAAAGCGTTTTGCACCGCCGTACTTGTTACTGCTCCACTCGACCCAGGATTACACTCGGCAAACGAGGCCTGTGAAGTCATGTGCAGGGTAACAGGAGATGCGGAAGCTGAGGCTCCGGTGCTTTTCAACCTAGCAACTCCGGACTTCGGCCCTGCCAACACCTGTGACTGAACGGGAGCCGTACCACTCATAGATGCCGATTGTCCACTCGGCCTTGACGCCATGTTAGCATAAACTGAACCCATCGGGTGATACGGACTCCCAGCTAATCGAGAAGAAGCTATACCACCCCCTCCGGCGCTGAGAGATTGCATCCCACTAGAGCTATCCGACTCTCTGGATAAAGGAGACGATGCTCCAGAAGATCTCTTGTTATGCAATTTTCGATCCTCCAAAACCTCCCGCTCAGATACCCGACCAATGCTACTGGTATAGGTCCCATCTTTACCACCAAGACCATCTTCAACATATACGACTGCATTTCTAGGGTTCTGTGCGGAACGCTGCAAGTAAACAAAAATATCAAAATAGAATCACTTCGTCATAACAAACCACACGATCACGTTCCCTAAGTACAGCTTCGTGAAGACCAACCAAAAAGATAGCAAGACGAAGATCACAACGAGATCCAAATCAAAAAATAACAAATTCATATATATTCAAAAATCCCCAATTAATCCATATCTAAGTAAAAGAGTTCCACAATAATACCTGCTGCATCTGAGGTTGCTGGTTCACACCATACTGCTGCTGTGAATGGTGGATCTGCATAAGATGATGATGCTGCTGCTGCTGCTGCTCCAGCGAAATACTTCCACTCAATTGCTGATGCCCCCTCCCACTCTCGGCCATGCTTTGTATCATCGCGTGCCCTTGTGGTGCCATCACTGCCGCTACAGGTGCCAGTCCCAAAGGTCCCGGTCCCACTGATGCCCCTCTGTTCATCGCCCCTCCCATGCTCATCCCATGCCCCCCGCTCGACACTCCATCCCCTCCTTTACCCCCGCCTCCTTGCCCCTGCCCCTGCCCCTGCCCCTGCCTCTGCACTGTGCTGGAAAGCCCTGACCTCCACCCCCACCTTGTACCTGCTGCTCCCGACCCTTCGACCCCTTCCCCGTCCCCACCATCAGCTTACAGTCCACGCCTCCCCCGCCTCCCATACTCCCGCTTCCCAACCCCGACCCCGCGCTCCCAACTCCCTGCCCGTACCCTCCCCCACCCCGCACCATCGACATCCTGCTCTCACCCGACGACCCATTCTCCCCCGCTGTCGATCCCTCCCTCTCTCCCGCCCTCGTACCCCCCTGCTGCCCCTGTTGCACCGCGTGCGAATGCGAATGCGAATGCGAATGCGAACCCGCCTGGCTCCCCAGACCCTGCGCACCACTCCCCCCACCTCCATACCCTCGACCCCCTTGTCCCTGCTGCTTCCCCACCCCACCTCCACCTCCACCTCCTCCCGCCTGTTGACCATGCGCCACCATGTGATGCGTGAAGTACGGCCCGCCCGCCGCGAAAAACTGCGCCGCTGCCTGCACACACCACCACCTCCATCTCGTTACCCACGTCCCCACTTCCCCCGCCCTCTCACTTCTCCCCACTCCCTCCTCACTAAACTCCCACCACCGCCACCCCCGACCCGCTCACTTCTCCCCACTCCCTCCTCACTAAACTCCCACCACCGCCACCCCCGCCCCGCTCACCTGCTGCACACCCGTGTGTGATACCGCCCCATAGTGACCCGGAAACTGCCCGAACGGATATCCCGACGGCTGCTGCATCATCGCCTGCATGTACTGAGCTTGCACTGCTGCCGACGCCACGCCGCCGTTGCTCCCCACCGACCCCGTCCTAC